TTATTTGAGTAAAAAATTATTGATGACTAATATTCGGCGATTTTTAATAATTAATATCTTGTTAACTATTGCGAAAATTGCAAAGTGATAAAGGACTTGTCGACTCAGTTTAGTCCGCTCTATCTACACACGAGCGCTTTGTCAAAACTTACCAGACACCCTGTATAGTGCTATACCACTATGTTTCTGAATGTATGTACATATAGAAGATTGTAAATGGATTGTAAATGGAAACGAAAGTTGGCGACAGACATAGTCGATTAACTACCTCTTGGGATACCCTTATCACATATTGTTAAAGATATAGTATGTCGTTTACATTTCGATAATAGTTTCATCAGCCAGAGAGTATTCCGACCCTCCAGCTTATTTCGTTAATTGCCTTCCTGTTTAAGCGATATTGATGGAGAACAGATAAATAGCGGTACAGTCTCATCCTTGGACAATAATCAGCGTGAATAGTCATAGCGGTATTAGTCAGAAGCGTTGGTGACACGCGTTGATGACGTACGAAATACGAGCGGAGAGGAAGAGGAGGGGGGAGAGAGAGAGAGAGAGAGGTTGAAATTAGAAAGGAAAATTTTTCTCGTAAAAGAGAGAAAATTCAGAGGACCTGGCTTTCGCTTAGATATCCGTCCTCCTTTTTCCATCGGGCACGTTCGATGTATCCACGAGCATGAGGGCGAACAGGTATTTAGGACATACGCCGTTAGCTCCAGAAAATGCATTAACTCGCTGACGCACGCGCAACATACGTCCGTGTACTGTAAATGCGCTAAATTGGGTCATTTCAGAGCAACAGCTCGTGCTCGATGATGTACGACGATTCTTCGTATGCGTGTGTGCGTGCCTGTGATAGGTTGTGTCTTTATTAGGGCCTCGTGTTATTTTAGCGTTAATCCTTGAATTGCCGACGATTTACCCTCTCGAAGAGCATGATAAGAGTTCTGTAGATTTCTACGTTCACTGACAGCTATTTAAAGCGATTGTAATAAAATTAAAAAGAAGAGTTTTTTTTTAGGTTTTTTTTACACATGAGCATCGGCAATTGAAATCTTCTGAAAGATTTTAAATCGATTGGTCGAAGATATTTCAAGAAAGATCGTTCATCGCAATATTTTCCACCTTTCAGTATTACACACACACGCACACATATTTCTAATAAATCTTAAAATTTCACCAAAATAGAACTTAAAATTAATTTAAATTTGGAAATGTTGATTTTTTTGCAGCTTGTTATAATCTTCAAAAAGACCTTTTTATCCCATCATTCACAACTCCAGAGCCACATTAAGTACGTCAAAACACATTAAATTGATATACAATTCAATATTACTGATGCTAATAAGTGTATTGTAGACTAGTAAAGCAGTAAATTAATGTGCTCACTAGATCTGCAAGATGAATGACTCATAATATTAAGCTGATTATACAGGGTGACCATTGGGAAATTGCTGAAACTGAATAGCTGCTGTTATTTTGTAACGACTGGACAAAGTAAGATGAGTTAAACACTATTCTTCAAAAGAATCATTGTCAATCCTTTTTTATATTTATTTTTTTAAATATATATATATTTCTTCTTTGCATTATGTGCTAATAAAGACGGATTTCTTCTACTGTACAGTATTTAATTCATCGCCCTGACAATGAGAAAAATGTTTTGGTTATACCAACAAGAAGTACAATATACAAACAAAGTGCATTCTGATCATACTAATCAGAATTCTGATTATCATAATTGAATTTCTGCTTATCTTGATTAGAATATTTGATAGATTTAACTATAAATGTCCGATTTGTATTTTTCTGATTAAAACTACTGGATTTCCAATTTATGTAACCAGGTGATTTTGTTTCCCATGCTTACTTTATATCGTCACAAAATAACAGCTATTTTATAGTTTCAACAACTTTCTGATGGTCACCCCGTAGATATAAAACGGAGTAGGTAGCCACGTCGGTCGCTTATCATTTGCTGTCGCCGCTCGAATAGTTTTGATCAATCTGGCGGAACAAGACGGTGAAACCGAACACGAGACAGCCTCTTTATTAGTCCTTTCACCTGGTGACCTGATTTTTCATAGCACACGCTCCATCGTCAAGTGGTAGTTCAATAAGACGTGCAACGTTGGCACGCCTATATCAAGGTGGTACCTAGTACTAAAAATATCTTATATCCGTTCAACAGGTGTTCGAGATAAGAATGTCAACGTGCTCACAAAGTAATCCGCGACGGATACAAATCGCAATGGAATGCTTTAGAGTCAAGCCGCTGCATTCTCGCGAACGTAAAATGATGGGTCACGCAATGGCATTGATCGTCTTATCCGAATCACGAAAGCACTTGTAAATTATTCTCAAGTATATTTCCGCTGCTGTTCTCAATGAAACAGCAGCATTAATCCTTCATGATTTACCGTGGCCAAATGGTTGTATTAAGAGTCGCATTGGCATTGTCAGTTTGATTGACTTGTTAACAGATAAATTCAATTTAAGATTAATGTTTAAATACTACTTCTGAAGCATGAATATGTGTGCGATAGATTATCTTAGGCTTGCGTCGGCTTTGAATTGAAATTATAATTATACTTTCTCGGAAAAAAATCGCTAATTATAATTGCCTTATTTTGAGCCAACACAGAATATAACTGTATACAAATTTTATTCTATACAAGTGATGTACGTTTCGACCACTATACAGCTTGAGTCTTCTTCAGTACATAGTAATTAAACGAATGCAACATTAATGACTAAAATGAATAAAATAATTTTGAAATTGATCTTACAAAGCGTTATACTCGGATCGAAATTCTTTTTTGTAGCGAACGTTGGATTGAATGGTAGCGATGTTATTGCGTATATCCCTCATATATTCGTCCATTTACATCATTGCATTAAATTGTCGAATTTACTAAACATTGAATATTATATTATTGTATATAATTAGAGTGAAATTATTTGTCAAAACTTACATGAAAATGTTATGTAGAACATACTATATATTGGAGATGTTGACCTACATAAGTATTTTCAGATGTGTATCTGACTAAATTTCTATAGATACTTCAACAAACCTGTTCTGCAATAACCAAAAATTCTTACAATTGACCTCTCTTTTTCTTTCGATTTGTCAGCCCTTCAAGTTATCAATCGACTAATACTTTCCTAAAGTCCTTAGAAATCTTGTTTCCTTCGTGGATAGATCTTCACATGCGATGGGTAGATTAGCACGATTCTCTGTTACTTTACGTTATCACGAGTTCAACGTTGGACTATTAGATCGGATTATATCTATATACCTCGTATATCAAGTTTGCACACGCATACTTCATTCACTCCAAGATTTGCACGAAAGCTACCGCATCCCAATCTTACAATTAGTTACATTTATGCTATCAAACCGATGTGGGCGGCACGCCCGTCGGTTCGGAAAAGCGATCAACGGAAATATATATTGAAGAGAAAAAAAAAAGATTTTTTTTTCTCGTTTCTTTTCCAACAATTTTCGCTTTTAATGAATATACATATAAGATCGCGGAAAGTCCACGAGACGGTAGCATCGGTAGATGTGCCCATACGCCTCGCGACGCTCCACACAAAGGAGTGTCTATGTTTCTACTCTAGCTAATCCGCCTCGTGAAACTCGATATCTATCACGCATGACGACAACTTGTGTGTAGGGAGCTTATAAGTATTCCAAGTGCCGTTCGCGAGCCATTATGTCATCCTCTTATATCGAGCACGTTCCCGTACAATACTCGCGATTGGATACTCGGTGTGACGAGCTCGACCTAATAATTGTTCATATAGTTTATGCGCGTTTACTTTGTATAATGTATATTATATTAAGAGCCCCGTCCTTTAATCCTTAACAAACTTTAATTGTTATCGAACGATTATTCGTCGTGAACAATTTTTCCTTTTCTACAAATACTGACTGTTATTCATTAACCACACAAAATGGTAACAAAATTGTCGTCAACTTAACAACATCTCTCTAGCTGCTGTTGAGTTTACGACAGTTTCGTCGCTATTTTGTTGTTATAGAATAAGAAATGTTCTTTACTAACGACAATCGTTCAATAACAACATCGTTAAGAATCATAGAATAGGACCTCTTGATGTAATTCATTTCTATGTATTGTATTCAATGTAGATTAACTTTAATCTCAGTTTAATTTAGGTACTTTTTATCTCTTTCTAGTTCTAAGAATTTTTTTTCTTTTCTAAGAATTAGAAAAAGATAATGTTAGCCAGATAATAAATAAACATTTTAAATAATGCGGCTATTAGCGATAAAATGCCATCAATATGATAAATGCCATCGAAGCTCAGTTAATCTAAGGAAACGCAAAATTAATTGCGTTAATTTAGAATTGAGTCGCATGAATTGCTCAAAGTCACATAATTTCGTTCGTAAAACACGAGATGATCTCAAGTGGAGCTCGGGAATCCCGCAGTTTGTAACAAGTGATCGTAAACTTTCCACTAAACATAAAAGCTTATGAATTAGTATTACCTATTATAAACGAGCAACCTTTGTGATTTTTATTTTTCTACGATTTCTGGTTAAACAGGTTAAACAATTTTCGTTCGACTTGTATTCTTATTTTACATTTGTTATATAGCAAGTATATATAACTCCTTGTTATTTTTAAAATTGAACATATTAAAATATTACACAATGAATATAATATATATCTTTTTATATTATTATATAATTATATATTAATAATTATAGTAATTATATTAGGTATTAATTATAATTAATAATATTAATATATATATATTAGTTTATAATAAATATAATTTGATTGTATATAATAAATATAAATAAATTTGCGTATCTCATAATGAATGCACAAGTTTTAGACAGGAAAAAGATTCAACTGATTCAAGGATGCTCGTAATATCGTTCGTAATCTTGTATTCCATGTTCGGTGATGAATATTCATTGTAAGACGATTTGTATTCTCATCGCACCTTGCTTTTTACAGACCAAAACGGATGCCGATGTCATCAAGATGATGGCCTACATTCTTATCATCGCTGGTGCTCTCACGTTCATTATCAGTTTTCTTGGATATTGCGGCGCTATGTTCGAGTCCAGGTGTCTCCTCTGTGTCGTAAGTCCGTTCTGATAAAACACAATTCGCTCGCAATTCCATCTTGCCTATACCTATGTATACATGGCACTTGCAAGCGGTCTAATGTAAAATCACAAAGATTCACGAAACACATAAAGATTACAGATTTTCTCTAACAGTATTTCTTATGCGTTTAGTATCTGGAAATAGAAATATTATACGTTTTTAATTCACATGCAAATAACTTTGAGTCAATAGTGAGCGATAAATACGACTTTCAATAAGAAATTCTAAAACGACATTGCATCTCTTTCAATGTGTATTTTAATACAAAACGCTAGCAGCACTGCTGATTGTAGTAGGTATCTGCAGTAATCGATCAATTTAAAACAGTGCAGACGACATAAAATTCTGCGCTGTTTAATTATAATGATATAACGTGATATTTTCTTCTTGATTTTCTTTTTCTCTCATTTATGATGTACGTAATACCGAATACAGGACAATGTTCGTTATTGCTAGTATAATTGAGAGAAAAAAGAATTTACAGAAAACAAAATGAATTTTTTTGAAAATAAGGCAATCTTGTCGTGTGTTTATTTTCTTATCTAAAATCACCGCCTTGCTAACAAAATCGGGCGCGTATCGGGACGAAATTACACAAAAAGGGGAAAACATTTTCTGTGATTACAGTACGGCATTTTAATCTTGGTGGTTTTGATCCTGGAGTGTGTGGTAGTCGGCCTCGCTTTTGGACTTAAAGGAGACGTGCGTATTTATAATTATCATATATTCCGCGCGAATTCTAGTTTCTACCAGTGAAAACCAACGTCGATCAAATAATCAGTTACATATAGTAAATGTATATATTTTTTAATAAAATTCACTTTAATATGAAATTATGCAGGTCGAGAAAGGTACGCAGGACTTCTTGAAGGATACCATCGCTAAGTATTATGCGACAACCAGCGATAAAATTGATACAGTGACAGTCGCGTGGGATGGTATCATGAGTAAGGTAAAGTTACTAACTATAACGCTAACATAATTTCGACAAGCTGACACGCGAATTAATCGTACATTGATTCTTCCGGATTTTCATGTATTCTGCGTGTATAAACGCGATTAATTTGCCAAGTGATTCGCTAACTGCACAGCGCGCGGCGCGAGCGGTTTGATATAAGTCTTATAAGTGAAAGCTGAATATCTCAGGACGAATTATCGGTACTCATACCACTTTGTAGTGAAATTGCATATTACAAACGCTCGTCAGAATTTTGTTTTAAGCGTCTTGATGAATTACGGAGAAAATGAATAAGAAAGCAGATAAGTTATAGGGAAGTCTCACAATTTTCTTCTTTAAACTAGAGCCAAGAGAAATATCATATAATACTATAAATACGCTTAATTAAATTGTTAATTTAAATTATTTAAAAAGATAATTTAACGTTTGTAGAAATATACGCATAACATCTTTTCTCTGCATCCGTTTTTCTTACGGGTTTACGAGGACTTAGTAAATGGAAAAAGAAAAATTTTATCGATTAAAGACAGGGAAGACAAAATGTCGAATATCGATGGAAATATTTGCAGCTCCATTGTTGCGGCGTGGAAAATTATCGTGACTTTAGCGAAAATAAGAACTGGACTGCAATGGTTGGAAAAATGGTTCCTGATGCCTGCTGCATAAAAGAAAATGACGTTCTGAAGGATTCCACATGTCCAATAAATCCCACCTCGTTTAATACGTACCAAACGGTAAGTTGGGTCCTATATACATTTCTTTAACGGCTTTTTTTAATATTATTTTTTTGTGTATATTACGGTGTATCTAGCGCTCGAACCGATCAGCATTCTCTCTCTAGGCGTAATTATTTTTGTACGAACATAGATCATACATACGTAGCTGTTCACGTATAATATACTTTCCCCTTGGCAATTTTCTGAGCGTGATTCGACATTGACATTGCATGCATCTATTATA